CTCAACTAACCTTTCCTCGTATGACATTCCTCTAAGAATGCTCTACTGCATGCTTTAAGAGTCATGTTTGCATTTGCAATTTATTGAGAGTGAGTATTGGCCTTTGGCACAGATGCATATTGTTTCTTCTCCTGTTTGTGGCTTTCATGCACAGGATATCAAGCCTCAGCCATGTGTATGGGGGCAAGAAGTGACATCTTTGCTACTTGCAGATAATGTGTTTTTGGTTTCAGGTCCTCCAGCATGAATGTAAGTGTTTTGATGCTGAGTGTGAAGTGGCAGGGGTGAGAATCAGCACCTCCAAATGGTACTTTCTCAGAAAAGAATAGAATTTGCCTTTCAGGTGAGACTGGAGAGTCTGCCGTAAGTGATGGGGTCCAAGTACCTCTGGATCTTGTTGATGAGCAGTGTTAAGAGGTAGGGCTCGGCGATATATACCAATAGAATATCATATCGTGATCATGAACATTCATATCGTCACCAATTTGAATATAAACACTTGTTACCTTGTATAATTGACAGTTATAATACACTATTGTTACATGAATTCCATCAAGGTATTAGTGTATTGTTGGTGAAATCATTATACGTATCACATGCTCAGTAACTATTAGTAAAACAAATTGGTCATTATAGCCAAAACTTAAAAATACCTGTTATAATTTACTGATTTCTACATAAGAAGTTAGAATATTGTGATGAATATCTGAAAAAAAAATTGATATTTTTAGGGCATAACGCCCAATTCCTAGTCAAACCCCTTTTTCTGGACTTAACAAGGCAGTCAAAGAAAAAAAAACCTAGCAACTAAACTTGCTACTTGAGTTTTCTAGTGTTATGCCCTACAAGAAAGTTTATTTTTATATGATTTATTTATTCAAATTACGTATCAAGTTTTTTATTTTGATACGAATAAGAGGGACCTTAATAAGAGGGACCATGAGATTGACAGGGGGACTTTTGCAGGTACGGTGAATGTCTGTAGTGGTGCAGGGGGAGTTAGGTCACCAGAGAAGGCTCGCGGTTTACCGTTCAATCTACATCCCTGTCCTCATGAGCTGTGGGCATTGGCCCTTCAGGTGTTGGGGAAGACTTAAAAAAAACACATGAGAGGGACTTGATCTCTCAGCTGGCTTAGGACTGTATAGGGATCACCTACAAAATGCTAGAGTCTCTGGCCAGCAAGTCTGACCTGATAGGCACACTGTGACCCTCACCAGGAAAACAGACTGAAAGACGAGATGACAAAGAGTCACTAGTACAGGTAATACATGAACTCAACAGTATTAAAATAAATTTTATTTGTAAAGAAAAATATGTCAACAAATCACATAACCATTACCCCATGTCAATAAAATAGTAATAATGCTAATACAGTAATGTTTCATACAAAATATTTCGCTGCAACAGATTTTATGACACGCATTTGTTTCTAGACAAGGTCCTTGTATAGAAAATGGTAATTAAAATTTAAATTTTAAAAGAGTAATTGAGTTTAATTGATCAAATAAAGTCCTTGCACAACTGAAACTGTAAAAAAGGCAAAATAGACTGATGCCTCCCAAGCATTAGTGATACAAACCAGAACTCACATCTATTCTCCATCTGTCTGCTTGTTTTCAAAAGCAGTTTATAATGGGCATAGATTTGTAAATGTACAAAGCATGATGGGATACACTCACAGGTGTACAGGATCTCTGCAGCTGTGTGCTGCATCATCATCTGAGATTTGTTTACTCTAAAGTCAGTACGTGCATAGAATACCTCATTGCTTTTAAGTCTCTGTACAGAACAAAAACAAAGATGTCTCCCAAACCTGACGATATTAATGGGTTCTAATATTTTCACACACTGCTTCCCTTCAGTCTCATACAAAACAATACATTTGCGTTAAATCTCTTTAAAAAAATAACTTGAATTATGCATTGAGTAATGCATCCAACTCTACTGGCTAATATACATCTGTACATTACCTTGAAGCCATAATGCACAACCAGTTACAAAAAATCTATTTGGAAACTATAGGCTTTTTAAATTCATAACATTCAGTAGGAATGTTAAATATTGCAAAATAAAATACTACAGATCCCAGCTATTGCTTACATTACTGTATTATTTTAATAACATTATTTAAATACTATAAATCAATATATGTAAATCAGTATATGTACACATCATTGTGTGATGCAGTTTCAGAATTGTGTGCAAACTAGTTTGCCATGTCTGCTACATTCAATATCAATTAACTATTCACACAATTTGGAAGAAGGCTGAGACATTACAAGGATGCCACTGATGACCTGATTCTGCAGTTAAAACTACCTCAGCAATAATCACTTAAGTTTACATATTTACTCACTGCTTCAGACATCTATTTGAAGAATATAGAATGCTTCCTATACACCATATATGAATAATATTAAATTAGCTATAAGAGCTGGAGATTGCCAGTGCTTGTTACAATTTTTCATCATGAGGCAAACCATCTCAGCATAGTATTCACACAGATATGTAGATCTGCTGGATACTGTAGCCTACCTGTGGTCTACGATCAAGTGCTCAAAGCCCGATGTTGCAGAAGATGCTGTATTCTTGCCACAGCAATTAATGCACTAGAATACTTGTTCTTGCATCAGCATTGGCGCACTTGTTTGCATTGTCCCAAGGCACTGTCCAGATGTTGCTACAGTGTCTCATGGGGTGAAGATTCACACTGAGGGTGGACAGGACCTGGTCCAGACCAGTGTGGGGAGTGCCATATCAAAGCGATTGTTAGTCCTCACCTCCAGTGGCTAGTAGGATGCCCTTCTCCCTTAGATGGGCACCCAGTGAGTAGAAAATGCTCAGCTGTTGCTCTGGGTGCAGGGCCAGTAACTGCTGCAGCACTTTGCTGGGGTTGGGACCCCTGGAGGACAATCGGGAGATATGACACTCAGTGCAGTGATCGACCTCGGCATACCGTGAAAGGGTATAGCTATACATATGCATGGAAGCCGGTCCCCTCTTCCCCTACTAAACAATCATGCATATTAAACTAACCTGAACCACACACAGCTCATTAATTCACTGCTATTTCCTTAAGGCAAAGAAGCTCAAGAACAAAGTGATGCTTTTGAAGCTGGCTAAGCACTTTGTAGTGGAAGTACCTGATAAAGCTGGTCAAGTAAACATGAACAAAGGTGGCCATTAGGTACTGGCAGTCAAAGCGATCCATGATGCCTCCATGTCCAGGAATGGTGTCTGCGAAATCCTGTAGGAGACCAGAGTTGAGACGCACAGTAGCTCATAGTCATCTTAAGAATCTCAGACTCATCTCAATCAGCGTGTGCTTACTTTTATTTTGAAAGCTCTCTTAAACCCACTGGCAAAGAAGCCACCAAATGGGCCTATCAGAGAAGCAAAGGTGGAGAGCGCGATGCTGTGGACTTGGAATGGATACAGAGTCAGCGTTTCCTGAAAAAAGAGAACAAAAATGGATTTATTGCTCGGTCTCCCCCAGTCCTGAGCTCAATATCCTCTACACTGTCACCAACAAAATGTCATTCTAGTTCCATTTCTATTGACTACAGCCTTCAGAGATGGGTATAATAATCAATGACGCATCAATGCCTCTGTGGGACAACAAAGAGGATCCAACTGGCACTATACTTGTAGAATATCTAAGCACCACCTCACAAAGTCTTACCAGCTTGCAGCATTTTAATTGGAGAGATTCATGTCATGAATGGTGTGGCTCTCTGAAATTGGAATGGAATCCAGTGGAATTCAAGGTGGTCTTTACCAGTGCCGTGGAAAAACTTTAAGGGATGGAAGCTAGATGGGGGGGGGGGG